GGGGGGGAACAAAAAAAACACCACCAAAAAAAGAAAAAGTGGAGGCATGCGACTCAAAAGTCTCTTGTGAAAACCCAGCGGTCTGCTCACAGATACTGTTTCCTAAATAGCTGGCATGAAATTAAGTGACATATGATTATAAGACAATTTGAAAGCTTCCCACAAAGTTGCTGTTTTCCTCTGTCACTGGAATCGCAGCTTAGGGCCGGAGCACAAAGGGAAGACAGCAAGATCCAGAGAAGGGGTTGGCAAATATCCCTTACTAGAGGCGAAAGCCCGCTCACCTGCTGCCCTTGCTCGGAGAAAGCACAATAGACAGTTAAGTTGGAAAAGAAGTGAAAGCTGGCAAGGGATTTGCTTCCGGAAGCTGCTGCTTTGACTCTGTGCAATCGCAGGCAGAAGAGGACGTGGCTCAAATGACATGCGGGGAAGGGAAGCGACCAAACGGGAATCGCACAAAACCCTTTTTAAACACTCAGCTTCGGGTCAAAGTTTAAGTGAAAGAACGAGGCTCTGCTTAAGAGATCCAAGCTTCAAAACCGTTGACGCTGCGAAAAGGGCGTCCTCTGGAAACCCTCCGCTCACCAGGAGATCCCCCTCCCTTCTCCAGCACTGCACAAACACCCTCCCAAAATTTCTGCTGGATCCACTTGGTCCTTCTCCCTGCCAACCTACCATAAACCCACCCTCCCTCCCCTGCAGCTGAGGGAGGGATGCGCTTCCCAAACCAGGGGCTTTTTAGCGAAGCCGCCTCAGCCAACAAGCCACATCTCTACAAAAAAAAAAACCAACCCCAAAACCCAAAAAACGAGCAGCACCGTCACACCCATCCTTCCCCAAATCTTTATCACAAGCTGGCAAACCCCTTCCAGCTGCCGGGAAAGGCTGATGTGCCCGTGGCTCCTTTGGAGTCGGAGGAATAGCCGCTGGCTAGCAAGGTAAGCAGCAGCGGGGTAAGCCCAAGAAGGTAAAAGATCCCCCCCCAAAGACACGTGCTGCATGACTGGGAGGTGATGCTGGCTTAGGGGAGCCCACCTCGTACGCCCACCGCTCAAATACCGGTCAGCAAGAGCCGATTCGAGAGCCGGGCGCAGCGGAGCATGCCACGGGCTCTGCAGTACGCGACGGTGGTAGCAGGGGGGGGTCTTTCTGTCCACAAGTTACAAATCACCGCCTTTTTCCTTTAAAATTCAGGCTGTGCAGATTTCCCAAAAACCCCCTGATCCCTAGAGATTGGAGATGATTCCTCTGCTCCGAATCAGAGGGATTCCCAGAAGGATTTCTGCCGCACAGACAGCACCGGCTGACAAACTCCGGCACGCAGCCGGCTGCACCGAGTCCGAACAGCCGAAACTTCGGGAATCACTGCAACAAGGGGCAGCGCTTCTCCCACCCACCTTCCCCTTCTCATCAAGAGGTCGCTTTTTTTGCTTGGGGCTCCCCTGGAATAAAACTGAATTACCGAAGGAAAAAGGTGCTGTGATTGGTATAACGCACTGGAGCCCTTTAGAGCTAATCCTGAATATTTGGATGTCACCTTGGAAGAGGGAGGGATCCCAGCCAGTTGCACCACGCAACGCGCCTTCCACAGAATCGGCGGCTAAAGCAGCAGATGCAGGTAGGCAAGAAGTTGAAGAAAACAACAGCAAACTCTGGGAAGAAGACAGTTGTGAAAAGAAAAACCAAACCAACCCTATTTTCACCGGAAGGACCTGCTGTTGAAAGCACAGGCTAACTTAGAATTGTACCAAAGTCAACGACCCAAGTTGCCTGGGACTGTTTTTGTTTCTTTTAATCCCCCCACAGAGGTTTGCCTCTCATGGAAGAGAGGTCAGCTGTACAGCACAACACTTCATATATGCACTAGCAGTTAGATTGGTTTCTAAATTAAAAAAAGATGGACTTTTTATATATCGAACATAAATAAAAAAATTACAAAATGGTCACCTTTCTTACAGAATGGATGCAAACTGGATTATGAACGTGCCTCCAGGTGAAGTTGGTTTCTCCCCTGCCCCCACCCCACCCCAATAATAAATAAATAAAATTCATTAAGTTTTGGATCCTTTAGTGGTGCAGATTGGGTGCTCGGACCGTTACTGGGCTTTCTTCCCTGTGCCATTCTTGTCCGCAGAGTTTGTTGAGGTTACCAAGTTCACCGGCCCGTCTGAGTGCATTGAATCTTTGCGCGGCGGCATGCGTTCGTTAATGCGATCCAGACCTCTGGCTTCTTCGAAGCTGCGGATCTTGTGCTGTGGTGAAAATCCACGAATGGCTGCGGAGAGAAGGGCCGAGATGGAAGAGTTAGTCTGAGCCGTGGATCCCTGGATCAGAGCCCTTTAGCACACGCCAGACAGGTACAGGACAGAGTCAGGGTGACAGAAAGCAATTGTCTGGCTACGGGATCCACGAGATGGGTCCGTAGGTGATTTTCGGCATCGCCAGCTCACGTGGGTACCACAGTGCAGCTGGGAAGTTGAAGTCTTTGCTGCTAGGTCTAGGATCCAGACTGCAGTGACTTGCCCTGCTCCCTAACAGTTCCTCTTTTAGTACAGTTTAGCAGTAGGAACTTGAAGACCAGACAAGTGCTCAATGTCCCCAAACAGTGAAATCTCAGGAAACTTCCAAAGCTGAAAAACAGGATACTAAGAAAACAAAAGAAACAAACAAACAAAAAAAAAGGCAAAACCAAACCAACACAACAAAGACACCACCACAAGGCTTTAACTCCAACACGAACCACACACTGCAACACCAGGAGAGGGAAAGGGCTAGTCCTCGGATCGCAAACACAACGCTTCTTGCATAACCAGGAGACACACAGGCAGTCTCACGAGTGATGAAATCCCACACTGAGGGCAGGCGTAACTCCATTTCATCGCTACGAGGCCGAGTACATCATCCTTGCGGTGATGATACGGACCAAATGTTTAACTTCTTTGTATTACAGATAATTGACGAAAAAGGGGTTTGCGCCAAATCTTTTTACAAGGACTTGGCTGGTTTACAAACAAGCCTCCCTTAGTAATCAAAAAGTTCTCTACGCAGAGGTACGGCCCCATTCATCAGTAGGCGAATGGAGCTATCGAGGAGAAAACCTCCCCAGACAGTAACGTCGTGAATCTGTCATTTCTACAGGAACTATGGGGAGAAAATGGCTTCTCCACACCGGGACCACCTTGGCCCACCTGTGGGGAAGGCCAGGATTACATCGGAGCCGCGCAATCCGCTATCTCCTAGATGATTTTGACCAAGCGTGCTGGCAGCCTTCACCCGATCGAGTTACCCAGGGGATGAACTCAGCCACGAGGCATCCGAGATCAGATTGCAGGACCCCAACACCAAGGTCTTGAAACACCGGAGCACAAACCGCTCCGGAGACAGGGCATTCTCAGAATAAAGGTATCGCACTAAGTGATAGCCTCATTAAAGCTAAAATAGACTTGAACCAGCCCACCGTGTGTTTTTTTGCTTCCCAGCAGGGGCCCATCCTCCCCCACTTCTGGTGATGCAAGAGTAAAAAGCTTCCATAAGGCTGATAAAGCTCTTTAAAATTAGCGCACGCACACACAGAGATGATTTGAGTCTCTCGCCAGATTCTAGCCATACCTTCCCGTGCCTCTACCGCTTCTACTGTGGCTGCAATACAGAAGAACAGTGGCATGCAAAAATGAAGACAGAAAAAAAGAGTGACAGTGAGTGATCTAACATCATTGCTGCGAACGCAGAGCCCACAGCCTCCCAGCCCCAGTGGAGACAACGGTAATCAAAACCAAGTGGCAAGAGGGAAAAAAAAAAAAGGTGACAGGAGCTTGAGAGGAAGGGCTGAAAGGGAACTCCCCCGGGTTTAGCGTCTGCTGAGCGCTGACACAGAGGAGTGTCCTTTCCTCATGTTTGCTGGACTCGTCGCACAGATAAATCCAATGGGAAGAAACAGAGAAGCAGAGAGATGGCTTGCTGCTGCATGCACTGGAGGGCTCGGGCATGCGGGCGTCCCAACGGCAAGGACAGAGATAGTCTCGGACGAAGCCATGGGTCTCCACCTGCATTTACAGCCCCCCTGCTCCCAGTTTGGTGGCTCTAGGGCGTCCTGGCCACCTTCAGAAGGTAAATTATGTGGAATTCATCCCAGAGCGAAGCCCCAGCCACTGGAGCCATGTAAGGGAAGCGACCCTGAGGGATGTGATGACTTTTTGGAGTGGCGGGGAAGAGAAGGCAGTTTGTTCTCCAGGGGAGGGCAGGCAGCAGCAGGTACCAGGCTGCTCCACTCCCGATGCCTTGAATTGTAACAAAAATTATGCTTCAAATGCTGATGCTTCAAATCCAGTTTGGCTTCAGCTCCACCTCTAAAAGTGTTACCAAGCAACAAGGCACCATAAAGCTGAGCAGCATCCCCCTTCCTAAATCTGCTGCAGCAGCTGGCCAAGTTTTGGTAGTCTCTGCCTCAACATCTGGGAGGAGGCCCCTTCCCTAGAACAGATCCCCCGCTTTTAGCCTCAAAACACCACAGTTTTTTTTGCTCTGGACACAATACAAAGGCCACGTGGTCCTTGAGAGGCCACGGAGGAAGAGTGGAGTTGTAGCTGAACACCTTTGCTCCAGATTCGGTGACTTTACTCAGCCCATTTTGCTAAGCCGTGCTGCGAAAGGTTGGCAGGAGGCTCAGGGAGGGAAGGGGCCCCGTCACTGCTACCTGCAGCTCGCTCTCCTCTTTCGGGGTGCAGAGGCACCCCAAAAGGGGGGCAGCCCTCTCCTCTCCCTGCCGAGCAGACGGGCACCCAGCCTGTATGTTCACCAGGAGGCTGCTGCGAGCAGACGGCCGCGGTGCAAAGGGACGTGCGAAACGGGAAGGGGTGAGAGAAAGAGGCACGACAGGGAAAGGAGCGTGAGAAGGGTGCGAAAAGCAGGGTGCTGCTGAGGGGAGCACGGGGTGCCGGGAGCAGCAAGGGGTGGGAAGCCTGCAACCACGGGAGGAGGTGGCAGGCAGGGTCAGGTAAGGCAGCAGCAAAGGTCCAGCTTGTTTGTCCTGTCTCGGGGAGATGCACAAATTTCAGCTTCCTTACTGGGGGGGGAGCTGCCTGGTAGCCCCTCAGAGGGACCCCCCGAGAGGGGAAGGCGCAGGAGAGCGTCGCAGCACGACCCGCTCCCTGCGCTCTCGGCTGTAGGGGCAAAGCTGCGGCACCACGAGCGAGCTGCAGTCAGCCAACAGCCGCCTTCCCACTCAGGCTCTGTTCCCATGCCTGCAGCAGAACTGGGGCGACAGAAACCATTATGGTTGCTATAAAAAAAAAAAAGAAAAAAAAATTTCATACTCCTCTGTGGGCAGAGAAACCCATGAGTTTGGGAGCGATACCGCATCCTCCCCACCCCAAGGAGCGGGCAGCAATATTTACATGTTTCTCACTTGTGAACTATTTAATCAAGGCAAGGCAATCCCAGAACAAGCCCTCTTCTGAGCCCGCAGGAAATTACCCAGCGCTAATAGGAAGGGGAAAGCAGGCTGCTTAGATGCCAGCATTCAAAGGCTGGCGGCAGGAAAGGATTAAAACACTAGATTACAGGATTCCCTCTGGGGACACATGTTACTATGATAACTCATTCCCTGACCACCAGCCAATCTCCCTGCCCTGCGAGTTTAAAGCACGCAGATCGCTAGCTCAGTCCTGCTCTCAGCACACTAATAAGACGGCTGCTGAGGGAGGGAGCAAAGTATTTGGCCAGCAAGCACAGGAAAGAAACCTCCAAAACCAGATCAAAACCATGGGGCTGCGAGAAGTCGTAATATGAAACATACAGGCCTGGAAGAATCTCCTTCCTTCAACAAAATCTAAGCTTCCTCCGCTTGGGATTCACAATTTCATAGGGTCAAAATCGGAGGGGTTTCGTTTAACGAAGAACAAACAAGCAAGCGTGTTTACTGTCACATTCATATATACACTATCACACAACAGCAGCAGATAGGTGAAGCAGAGGATGCTTATCATGCAGCATTAGAAGGGAAATAAACGATAAAATTGTTGCAGAAACATACAATAAGGCAATACACATGCTTTAGGCGGGGTGCTGTTTGTTGTCTTTTTTTCCCTCATGCTCCCCTCCTGGAGGGTATACAGGGACATCTTGGAAGGCTCTCCACATCCCCACCTACATTTCTGCTTTTTCCTATTTCTGAATCCTTCCTCCCCGTGGGCCTGAACCATCTCTCAGGTCCCCTGGCACCCTGAAGCACGCCTACGGGAACCGATCGAATAGTTTTCGGGGCAGCTGAGGGCCAGGTATAAAACCGCAGAGGGGATGCAGTGTTGCAGAGAGGAGGATCGCTCATACTCACCAGTCTGCAGGGTCTGCCTCCCCCCTGAGAGCACTCCCAGGGGCAGTGTACCTGTGGGAGTCAGGCCTTTGAGAGTCAGCACGCTCTCGCTCTCCTCTCTGCAAATAACAGGCAACCAGTTACCGAGAGATTAACACGATGCTCAGTTAGATCCACGCAAGACTATTAGCGGCCAGCGGCACGAAAGCTGGAGTCTGCCCCGCGCTGACCGCAGGCAGCGCGTGTCCGATCCGCTGGGCACCGAGCACAACCCCACCTCGTAAATATAGGACCTCTGCTTACTCGGCCACGACACATCAGAGCTACGGCACAGCAAATGCATCCAGAAACGGCTAAATATACCTAATAGGCAGCATTTCTGTTGGCAAAGGTGCCGCTGCTCGAGACGAAGGTTTCTGAGAGTCAGACCACCAGGCATACAGAAACCACTGCCTCGAGCCTCTGCCATCTACTCTGAAGCAACACTATCATAAGATTTTTTTCCCCAGCAGGACTCTGCCTGCCCGATGTCCCCCGTTACCCAGACCCCAAATCACAAGCTTCTTCCTTACCGAAGAACCGAGAAGACGCGCGCCATCTTCCCAATGGCTCTAATCTTGTTCCTGATGATCTCTTTACGGACTGTTGTCCCACCTTAGGGAGAGAAAAAAACAAACACCAGCATGTTTAAGGTTTCCCGCTTTCCAGGCACAGGTAATGTCAGTATGAAGCACCTGCCTGACTCCAGGAAAAGAAATCATGGTTTACAGATTGACAGCTACACTCTCGAGAGAACGGTGCTGAGGATGGCAGTCAGGATGGCAGTGAGAAGGGCAACACCAACGAGATGACACACGGACTTAAAGGTCTAAAGAGAGTAGAACCACCAAAGGAAACGCATCGGATAGGTCTTGTTCGAAGCTCACCGGGTTTGATCACACTACACAGGATGTAACACAAATGACTCAGCCATGTAGACACAGTTTTGCAAGGCAGAACACTGACGAATCTGACTGCTGATGAACACCGCAGAACACCGGGCTGTGCTCGCCGCGGGGAGGAGTGTCACGCAAGCATCAGCTTTGGCATCCAACGCGCACAGTGAATGGCTGGCCGGAGCCTTGCAACTCTGCTTTGACCCCACGCAAACACAAAGTGAGATATGTGAACTCCCCTTCCGCTATACAGACCGAACATGAGAGAAAAGCATGGAGGGTAACTGAAAACAAACAAAAATCAAAGTAAAAGAGGTAACAAATACATCTCCTCTCAGCTGAGATTCCTCACATGGCCCAACTACACATTAGGACAGTACAAGCCAAACCGGAGGTCTAACATGCACCGATGGCTCAGCCATGCACTAAGTGGCTGCATTCAGAAGTCAGATAGAAACGTGACCCCGTTTCTCAAGTTCCTGGAGGAACGCAGAAGGGTTAAAAAACACACGGCGCTTATGTTAAAACTGAAAGGGGATGAAGAGACTGCCCAACTAGTCAGCTATTCAAATCCACTCCAAGGAATCTGGTGGCACAGGCAGTGAAAATTAAGCTTGTAGCAAATTCTAGCTGGGTACCTTTCTGATAGCTTGAAATGTAGTGATCTTCAGGGAGAGGAGACACCAAGAAACAAGTAGATGAAGACAGAGATAGAAGAAACAAATTTAATTTTCATGGGAGGGAGAAAGAAAAAAAAAAACAACCAAACCAAAAACGAAATGCAATGGGAGAAGCGGGTTAAAGTTTCAACCTGTTGACCGAAGCAGCGGCACCTTGTACCACAACGGTGTTCTGCTTCTCTGCGGGACTGACTGTCCTCCGCCCTACACGGATCTGTACAGGCAGCTCCCCCGGACCCCCCCGCGCATGCTCACGGCCCCACTTCTCGCTGCATGCCCCACGTCTGCGCCTGAGCTTCCTCTAGGTCACCACCTCGCTCTCAAGCGATCCCCCCGATATAGAAACTGCAGATCAGCTCAGCAACTCTTTCGTCCCTTTCAGGCATAGCTTAAAACCAGGGCCAAAAACTGCATTCTGCTTTTTTTTTTGAGGCGACATGAGAAGCCGCTTTTACAGAGGAGTTCACTGCAACAGATGAGAAGATTGGGTAGATATTTTGGTGCAGAAAATTTTGAATTGGGGGAAAAAATAACCACTTGGGAAGCAGTCTCTGTAAGGAGCAGGAAGCCATTCTCCAGAGTAGCTGGCGAGAAGCGTCTGTCGCAGTGAATATAATTTAATTTCTCTGTGACTGAATAGCAAAGGAAAAAAAAAAAAATTGTTTCCTACCCAGAACTGCACAAGGGTTGGCCAAAAAAGAACTGGAGACCCTGGCTGGGCATCCAGCTATAAATCAAGTGCTGATCACTCTTGAGCTAGCATCATACACCTTCCCCACCTTCACCCCCCCCACTGTTACTAGCTCGGTCATAACAGCGTTTTTTACCTTCCAATGTCTCATCACCATCTGAAATCAACTCATCATCGGAGCATATGTTGAGGATGTTAACGAGCATTTCAGTGACTGTAAGAAGTACAGACAGGAAGATTAGAGAGGCCTGGTGCGCGCACTTGGCAGACAAGAGGTATTTGGAGGACGAGCTGGACAAGCAAACGATTTCAAGGTCGTTTATACTCTGGAAGTGGAAGCCCAAAGACACTTTTAGCCGCATACTGCTGGTACCTCGCAGCAGTACCCAGAGCAGACGACATACTTTACACCTTCTGCCAAGGAGGTGGATGCAGTCCAAGCACATCACAGATGAAACAGACATAGGGAGCAGGGTGCCAACGTTCATGCGGAACAGCCTGGGCCCGCTGAAGGTCCCACCTCCCCACGCCGACCTGCACAACAGGCCACCTGGCTCCAAGAACGTCAAATCTGGGGGGAATTCAACCTTTGGTTCCTCAAAGTCAAAAAAACCCTTTGGCACTTCAGACCTTTAAGTCATACTCCAAACATAAAACACTGGAGTGGAATTTAAACTCACCGGGAGATGTAAAAACCCTTTTGCTGAGAAATTAAAGCAAAGTCTTGGTCATATTTTAAGCTGCCTTGCCTCCTTCAGAATGAAATAAGCCTTTAAATTGAACTGAATGCTTTCTCTTTGGTGGGCCACAAGCCAACAGGAGATTTTAGTTTCTCTGCTGCAAACCCAGAGCAAGAGAAATGTCTCCAAATTCTTGAGGTGGGGCTACATCACCCAAGATCGGCTCCATCAGCCACGCAGAAATAGCAAGAAGGGATCGTTTTATTGGTAAAAGCTTTCTAAACCAGGTATCAACAACTATTTTCACATTAACTTTACCCAGTAATATGCAGATCTCCTTACACCTGAACTACTTCCAGTACTATCTAATATTAATGAGTTACAACACACTCCCACCACATTTAATAGCCCGTGGGACAGGTTTCTAACACTCAGGGTACTGTGACCAGTCACCGGGCAACCATACCAGAAATCCAAATATCTCTTACCCTTTTCCCCTACAAAAGGCAAAGACCATGTGAAGACATCCATGAAGTTTGGAAGCCAGTATGGATGAGGGGAACAGTTGAACTGCCTGATGTTCATGACATTGTTTTCATATTTCAGTACAGCAGCTAGGAGAGAAAAAGGAAAAGATGACCCATGTCCATAAGCGCTGTCCGCTTCTGGGAGTTGTACCTGCACTAACAAAACTTCATTATCAACAAGAGGTTGCGCTCACGCAGAATCAAGCTGCCAGCTCTCCAAAATGAGAAGGCTTAAGCAGTATTTTTCAGTTTACCCATTACGTTGTGTCACTAAAGCTCATCATAATAGCAAAGGTCAACTTAAGAAAGCTGTTAAAATTTATCCGAATCAGAAGTGATGAACACAGGGCCAAGATCCAAAGTGGGTGGCAAAAAAACCCACAGCTGAGGAAAGTTCCCCATCATACTCATATGGTTTTAGGGGCACAGTGAAGCTAAAAGCTTGCCTATACCAGCAGCTTCTTTTTTATGGCAGCATTCATCAATAGCGCTTAGTTGTCATGTGGCTGGAAATGAAAGCATTATTCTAGGCTTTATAACTTGACAGCTAATTGTCACAGTAATACATTAAGTCTTCGAGTCAGAGAACGCAGCCACTTCCAGCTCCCCAGCTGCCATCGGTTTAATATATAAAGCTCTTTTTCATTTCATGCGTAAGAATGCAACTAGAGGAGAGGGCAGAACAGGCAAGGCAAAGGAAGATGGAGAGGGATTTCCTAAGTGCGCGAGGACAGCACTGACATCTGAACAGCAGCAGAGCCCTGGCCTTGCCAGCCTTACCCTTGTTGTTATAGACATCTAGGTAATTTGGTGCAGAGAAGATTGTGATTAATGACGGAAAGCCTGTTGTCTGGCTCTTCCTGTACATTCGGTATCTGAAAAACAGGTCAAGTGTTAAACATACCGGTTTTGCTAAGGACAGCGCGAACGCAGAGGGAGCCTGCTCAGCTACCAGGCTGCAGCGCTTACCCAGCGTCCTGGGCTTCGTGAGCTCGGATTACAGATAACAAACTATTGTTCTGCAAAAATTCACAAACTGCAGGATAACTGGAAAACAAAAAGCAAGTATACATTAGCACGTAGCACAGGAGAACAGAGGGCACCCATGGTCTTGGTTTCAGGAACCAGCCACTTGCAGCATCCTTTTGGTTTCTGTCCAGCATCCCCAAACAAGGCCAGTATGGATTACATCACTCAAAAATTAATTGCAAAGCATTCTGTTAAACAGACCTCTGGTGCCAAATCCTATCAGGCGGGCTACAAGTGGTCTGTCAGCACAAATGCTTCTCTTTTAGACAGGAAAAAGATTATTTCCTAGAGCTCCTGGTACTGTCCAATGCCTGAAGACCATTCAAAAGGCACCCTGCCAGTTAAAAGCATCATCTCTGCCGTCCAATACCACAATTTCATAGAGCAACATATCCAAAGAGAGAGCAATATTACAGAAGAAGAAAAAAACAAACAAGATTTTGTGCATTAGAGCCAAGTGAAGACTATTTCAGAGCCAGGTACACTGTAAAGTCCCACAGACTGATCTGAATAGCAATTTCTCTCCCCATACTCTCCCTTAGCGTAAGGGGAGACAAAAAGCTCTAGGCCACCGGAGCCCCCTAAAACACCACTTACCTGTAGAAATAGGAGCAGCCCCGAACAGTGTTGTGGGCAAAATGCTCCAGCGTTTTCTCATTGCCGTAATCCTCTGATGGATCGGACCAGAGCAGGTCACACATTGGACCAAAGGCCGGAGGCTCCTTAAACCTGTCTAACTGAAAAATGTACATGAAATCAGGACAACGCTGGTGAAAGCTGCAGCAGCACACGCACCCCTACGGTGTGGGCGTGCAGAGCACAGGAGCCTCAACCTGGAACTCCATGCAAGAACCAAGCAAGCCATTAACCACACTATTAATTGTAAGCTAAGTGAAAGGACCACGGAGATTACTTACTTTCCTAATGTCATCTAGACACGTGATTTCTGGAGACAGTCCTCCATGAACGCATAGAAATTGCTGGTTTAAGAGGGCAGCAAGAGGAAGACAGTCAAATGTATCCATACACGCGTCGTACACTCGCTCCGAATACTTGATTCGACCTGGAAAGATGGGGGACAGGGAGGGGAAGAGAGGGAAGAATTGAATTAATTTACCCATTTACACAACAAAGACTGCTCAGGCTGAAAGCAGAGCTTTTTTTTTTTTAAAATATTTTTCTTTTTTTTTTTTTTTAAAGGGGGAGTCATTCATGCATCCAAACCTACATGATATAAGAAGCATTAAGCAAAGCTTTGATCAACCAAAGTGCTGATAATTAAGTTCAAGGAACCTAACTCCTAAGGTGATATGGAAACTCTACATCTATGGCCCACCAAGCCAAACTTTGCACCCGTGTACTAGTGAAAATGCTGACTTAGAAAATGCTTATTGGACACGAAGATAAAAAGGCTTCACAGTAATCTGAACATGGCCAAGAATATTAATCTCCCTTCAAGCTATTTTCTAGAACACCTGCACTAAGATTAGCATAGAAAAGAGGCTAGGCGCTTGCCACTGTAATAGAAAACTTGGGATACTAATAAAGCCATCCCATCGCCCTCCTACATTCACACTGCACCTCTAGACTCAAAGAGCCTTACCAGCCTCAGCTGCTAAGCAGATTATACACTGGGAAATGCAGCAGCTGTTTAATTTGGCACAGCAATATTACACAATCACTTAAGATAGGAATTGCCTTTTCGGCTGGACACAAGTGCTTTGAGTCAGAAGTTGACCAAGATGCCTGCAGTTAAACGAATCTTCACACGGGATCTTTCAGGGCTACAAGCGATCGCAATCTCCATTGGATGCCTCATCCTAAGAGGCGAAGAGGATGTTTCGATACATTAAACAGAGATACCACGGCCTTTCCAAAAGCAGCTCGGCTTTTACAGCAAGCCTCCAAGTTATGTTCAGAAATCTCTCTCAAGACTTCCCATCAGAGCAGAGATCACCGCACGTCAAGCGCGTGTCGTCTTGCATCCGCAGGGCAGCAATACATTAACACAGCCACATCTTTGGGAGAGCCCCGTTACTGCTATAAAACCCGCCGCTGTCTAAAGCAAAAAAAGTGCACGAGTGGAAAGTTTACCTTTCCTCCAGCTTTATTTCAGAGATACTAACAGGTTTTTTCAGCTGCACGCTACAATACAGGAAGCGGAAAGGCAGTATCTTCTGTTTTCCAAAGGGGAAAAAAAAACCCCATCACCTCTGGCTTTCTGGTTCAAATTGAGCCCAGCTCAACAGGAGCTCATCTACCACCATCTGATGACTACAGTATCCAGCAGAGAGCTGGCTGGTGTTTTCCAACTCATTTCTGAGTAAACAGATGTCATTATCTCGGTACCTATCAGCCTTACCCTGTCCAGCAGCACCCAGAGCTGAAGGGCTAAAGATTGGACTCGTGCCTTGCCTGTAACTGTTTCTTGAGGTCGGGTCCTTGAGCAACTATTCCCTAATAGAGAGCCGCATGTTGCTGGTGTATGCCTTTTTTTATTGCTTGGAGGAATGACTGTCATCCTCAGGGAGAGGGGTCATTCCCCAACCTTTCATCATCGTTGGTTTAAAAATATGTAAATGCTGCACAAAACTATCTTTAACTCAACTAAAATGATCTTAAAGGTAATGATTCTCCCTAGTGCAAACACTGAGGAACAAATCCTTTATTTGCTTCCAATTGTAATCACTGATCCCAGCTGCACAATCTGGAGCTGAAAGTCATTTGGCAGTAATTATATGTTGCTGGGCCTGAAAGTCGGGGCGGGGGGGGCGGTGCGTGCAACTGGCTCATCAGCAAGACAGGGAAGATGTGTTCGCATTTCTTCCATCCATGCTCATTCTTTGTAACCAGAAGGCCACATCCACATGCACTTGGTACTTTACAGGACTTACACATTTAGATTTTTTTTTGTCCTTTTAGCAGGAGCTGAAACAGGAGAAGAGCTATGTATGCAGGAAAAAAAAGACGACAGGTTTTTACAGCTCCAGAGCTAACTGATACCACTCGTGGCAGGCACAAAAATTAAGACCCACACCCGGTCACAACGCATTAATATATTCAAATCCTTACACT